AAATTAGGTTATCATGTGGGGTCATACCGTCGGAGTACTTATCTTCAACTTATATCTATAATGCGATCGAACGCCGACGTCGCGCGCGCATGTCGAATTCATTATAGCGTTTTTTACGCGCGTGCTGTCGCAAGAATCCTAAACTGGACGAAGTGAACGCGCGCGCGCGTCGTCGCGCGCATACCGAAATGGAGCAAAAACCGCAGGTTTCAGACATGAGAACTTGAGTAGACATGGCATAACAATATAGAGAGAGAGAGACCAGAACCATCGCGCGCGCTTCGCGCGCGCTCAGGTTCTAGAAGGCCCCAGACCTTGACGAATTCATTGCTCCACTGAAGTATTGGACCACCGTCCACGCATGCCTATCTGCATTCCGAAAGGCCTTCGAAGAAACTTGTTGTGTAGGATGGCGGAGGCAGTATGAATCGGGTTCCCAGAAGGCCTTCTGGGAGCATGTGTTTGTGGGCGTCTTGGGGAGCCTGTTGGGGCGTGCCGTCGTCGTCGTCGTCGTAATGTCGTCGTCGCCTATTGGGGCGTGCCGTCGTCGTCGTCGTCGTCGTCGTCGTCGTCTTCGTCGTTTCGTCGTCGTCGTCGTTTCAAGAGGGCACTTGGGACAACTTTGTGCGAAACGATCTGCGGAGGGCCACGAGAAGGCGATCAATCATGTTCCCAATCAACTTTCCAGACAGCTCTCCTGTAGCATGATGGACTTCGAAGCCTCCGGAGACTCGCGGGCCCATGATGAACCATGTCCCTGGAAGGCTTTCTTTCACGGGACAGGGTTTGTTGGGGTGTGTTGGGGGGTCTCCTGGGCGTTCCCTGGGGGGCCCTTGGGGGCCTTCGGGAACTCTCGGGCCCATGATGAACCATGTCCCCGTAAGGTTTTCTGGGGACATGATTTCTTGGGGTGTGTTGGGGGGGGGGCCTCTTGGGCGTTCCCTGGGAGCCCCTTGGGGGTCTCTTGGGGCTTCCTGGGGGCCTCTTGGGCGCCTTACGGGGCTTCGTGGGAGCCTCTTGGTGACCTCCGGGTGCCTACAGGCGGCCTCTAAGGCCAGAGACCTCGAAATATCGGTTGGCGGTCCCCCTCTGGGCCTTCTCTTGGGGAGCTCGTGAGGCACAGTTGAGTTGTCTGGGGAACCTCCTGGGTCGTCTTGGGGCCGCTTCGGGGCCTCGTGGCTCGTCTTGGAGCGATCTGAAAGGCCTCCGAGCGAGGCCGTGAGGGAGCGCTGGGAAGCGGGGAAAGCGAGAACGCCTAAATCCTTCAACAACCATCGGAAAATTAGTGAATCTTGCCTCCCAGGGCCCTCTTGGGGAGCCTCTTGAGTCCGTCCTGGAGCGTGTTGGAGTCCTCGTCGGTCGTCTTGAGGGCAGCTTGGGCGTCTTCGGGGCCTCTTGGGACCGTCTAGGGCCCTCTCGGGACCTCCATTAGCCTGTCGTGGCCTGCTTCGGGGCGGGCCCGGGCCGCCTCGGGACCTCTCTGGGCCTTCTCTTGGCGCGCTCTTGGGGCACGCTTGGGTTGTCTGGGGGGCATCCTGGGCCGTCTTGGGGACCTCGTCGGGGCCTCTTGGGCCTTCTTGGAGCGATCTGAAAGGCCTCCGAGGCCGTGAGGGAGCGCTGGAAAGCGGGAAGCGAGAACGCCAAAATCCGAAAACGAGCGAATCTTGCCTTCCAGGGCCCTCTTGGGGAGTCTTGAGTCCGTCCTGGAGCGTGTTGGAGTCCTCGTCGGCTGTCTTGAGGGCATCTTGGGCGTCTTCGGGGCCTCGTGGGACCGTCTTGGGTTCTCTCGGGACCTCCATTAGCCTGTCGTGGCCTGCTTCGGGGCGGGTTCGGGCCGCCTCGGAAGCTCTGGACCCCCCCGCCGAAACCCCTAGTGGGCACCGATGGGGGGAACAGGCAGCGGCCCGCCCCCCCCCGGGCCTACTCCGAGATAGAGAATCATGTTCCCGGGAAGCTTTCCGGGAGCATGATTTGTTCGGCTCTTTAGGAGGGGGGCCTCTGGGGGAGTACCGAGGGGCGCCTTTTTGGCCTTGCCGGCAAGCCTATTGGAAACATGGTTGGGGCGGTGGGCGGAAGCCTTATAAGGCTTCCCCCACCTAACATGATTGCCAATCATGTTCCCCGGAAGCCTATCTGGGAAATGCGATTTACGGAAGTGTCTTGGGGGCCCGCCGGGGGCTTCCCTGTGGGTCCCTTGGGGGCCTGTTGGGGCTTCCCGGGGGCCTCTTGGGAGCCTCACGGGGCTTCTTTGGAGCCTCTTGATGGCCTCCGGGGGCGTCCTAGGCCGGAGACCTCGAAATGTCGCGCTCTTCGGGCCCTCTTGGGTCGCTCTTGGGGCTCTCTTGGGGCGCTCTCGAGGCCCTCTTGACTTATCTGGGGAGCCTCCTGGGCCGTCTCTGGGCTTTCTTGGGAGCCTCTTCGGCCGTCTTGGAGCGATCTCAAGGGCCTCTGACGCGGTCCGGCACCGTGGGGGGGCGGAACATGGGAGAGCGCAAGAATGCTTCAAAAACCATTGGGAAATTGATGATTTTCGGCTTCTGGGGCGCTTCCTCTGGAGGCGCTCTTGGGGCGTTTTGGCGGCGTCGTCGGCCGTCCTGCGGCCATCTTCGGCGTGTCCGGGGCCTCTGGGGGCTGTCTTTGGGTGTCCTGGGAACCCGGAAATCATGTTCCCGGACAGGCTTCCGGGAACATGATCTCGAACGAGGCTCTCTTGGGCCTCACTGAGGCCGTCGTGAGGGCCTCCTGGGCTGCCTTTGGGGCCTCTTGGGCCGTCTTGGGGGGTGCCGTCAGCCCCACAAGACGACCCTTTTGGGCCGTCTTGGGCCCTCTTGGGTCTCTCTTGGGCTGCCTTGGGGCTCCTCGGGGGCGTCTGGGGCACTGCGAAGACGAAGCAAGCGAGTATGCTGAAAATGTACGTTTTACTATCTGTTCCTCGCGAACGACGCAGGCAGCTGCGCGCCGTCCAAACGGGTCGAAAGCAAGACTCAGGCGCAGGGCAGTTGCCGCCGGCGACAGGCAGTATGTACGTTTGACTACGGGAACGGGCTGATTTTTGACTCTTGAAGGCCCTCTTGGGGCCTTCTTCGGCCATCTTGAAGCCATCTCGGGCCCTCCTGGGCCTTGCTGAGGCTGTCTTGTGGACCTCTTGGGCGTCCTGGGAACCCAGAAATCATGTTCCCGGAGAGGCTTCCGGAAACATGATTTCGAACAAAGCTCTCTTGGGCCTCACTGAGGCCGTCTTGGGGGCCTCCTGGGCTGGCTTCGGGGGCTCTTGGGCCGTCTTGGGGGGTTCCGCGAGCCCCACGGGACGATCCTTTTTGGGCCGTCTGGGGCCCTCTTGGGTCTCTCTTGGGCTGTCTTGGGGCTCCTCGGGGGCGTCTCGGGCACTCTGAAGACGAGGCAAGCGAGTATGTTGAAAATGCACGTTTTACGAAAGGAATGGGCAGATGTTTGCCTCTTGAAGGCCCTCTTGGGGCCTTCTTCGGCCATCTTGAAGCCATCTCGGGCCCTCTTGGGCCTCGCTGAGGCTGTCTTGTGGGCCACTTTGGGCGTCCTGGGAACCCAGAAGTCGTGTTCCCGGAGAGGCTTCCGGGAACATGATGTCGAACGAGGCCCTCTTGGGCCTCCCTGAGGCCGTCTTGGGGTTCTCCTGGGCCAGCTTAGGGGCCTCTTGGGCCGTCGTGGGGGGTTCCGTGAGCCCCACGGGACGATCTTTTTGGGCCGTCTTGGGCGTTCTTAGGTCTCTCTTGAGCTGTCTTGGGGCTCCTCGGGGGCGTCTGGGGCACCCTCAAGACGAGGCAAGCAAGTATGCTGAACATGTACGTTTTACGGAGGGAGTGGGCAAATTGTTGCCTCTTGAAGGCCGTCTCTTGGCCCTCTTCGGCCATCTTGAAGCCATCTCGGGCCCTCTTGGGGCGCTCTTGGGCGTCTTCGGGGCCTCTTGAGGTTTTCTTGACCATCTGTACGGCCCGCGTGGCCTGTCGTGGGCAATTTGGAAGCGGCCCGAGGCAGTCCCGGGGGGTCTGCGACCCCCCAAAGGTTTGGGGGCGGCCATGAGGGATGACGGCACCGATTTCCCCCCCACCCCCCCGCCGACTCATATATATATATATATATATATATATATATACCAAAAGTGGTTCCGCAGTTGTGATGCCGCAAAAAAAGCTGCGCTCGCTCTTGCGACTTAAAAAATGAGTCTGCTCTTCCGAACGCTTTACGCAAACACCACCACAACGTGTCTCTGACGCGCGCGTATTGACATTGAAATCAATCGAACGCCCTTTGTGCGCGTGCTGGGGGGGAGCACGGGCCAGGTCAAAAAATCCACGCGGGCCACTCGCGCGCGTCGACCGCGCGCGCATGTCAGATCCTTCCAAAAATTCGTCGCCGACGCGACGACACCAACATCGTCACCGCCATAACCAACATCGGCGTCGTCATTGCCCTTGCCGTCATCATCGTCATCCTCGTCACCAGAATGGTAGTATCATCATCGTGTCTGCCGTCGTCGTCGTCGTCGTCGTCGTCGTCGTCACCACGATACTGCGCCAGCCCGAACCGCCGAATCGCACTGATGTGCACGCGCGTCAAAAAACAGGTGAGAACATGGGGACGCTCACTCTAATCCCAAAAAAAACAAAAAGGCACGGGGGGGGCCAACAGTAATTAATTCTGTCAAATGAAAAATCAACGGCGACGACGACAGTGGCGACGACGACGACGACGACGACGACGACGACGACGACGACGACGACGACGACGACGACTACGAGAAACATGACGACGACGTTTACGAAGGCGACCGCGACGACTACGACGACGACAACGACGAGCACGACGACAACGATACCGAAGACGACAGCGACGATAAGTGTAAGCAGATGCACAGAGGGAGGAAGGGGGGTAGCTTCCGAGCCCCCCCCCCGTCTAATAACATTCCTCCCCCACCCCCCCTACTCCACCCCCACATCCTCCCGAACGCGTGGGAACGGCGCTGCCAGATGAGGGACGCCACGCCGAAGGAGAGGTACAGCGATCCTGCCCACCCAGCACGCACAACGGATGGGGGGCGGCGCGGGGCGAGGCAAAGAGGGGCGCAGTCCGACCCCCTCTATCGACGATCGACGCTGATTCACACACCCGACATCCAGGTCAGCCAGTCCTTGCCGACCCACGCCTCCATCAATGCCCGTCATCCCGAACCCCAGACCTACACGTGCCCATCAGCCTGCAAAGTCGCCCATTGCATGGGGCCACGTCGCCCACATCCACGTCGAGCCTCCTTCAACACGTCCTCCGAATCATCCCCTCCTTTTCCTCCTCGTCCTCCTCCGCCTCCTCCTCTTCCTCCTCCTCGTTGCACGTTGCACGCGTGGGTCTCAAGGCCACTGACAGAGCAAAAAGAAACAAAAAGACGAAAGCGGGAGGGCCAAATGACCTTTTGTAGGGAGAGGACGACAGGAGGAAGGGCCGAGACGAAGGAAGGACCAATAGAGGGGGAGAGAGAGAAAGAGATCAGCGCCTCTGGACCCCACCCAAACCGCGCTTCGGCAGCCACCCGCAGCGCCAGAAGGCGTGCCAACTCCCAACCCCTGTTGCAGCCGACCCCAAACCTCCAATCCAGCACTAGCCTGACAAAACAAGCTGTCGACCCAACAGCAAAGGCAAGAGAGGAACGGGAAAGAGAGGAGACCGTGTTAGGGGCGAGGGGAGAAGAAGGCACAACGAGAGGATCCCCCAACGACTGTAGGCCTGAATCACGTCGAAATCCGAGTCAAAGCTGGAACGCACGTCGTCTGAACTATTCAAACGAATTTTCAACATCACCAAAAGCTTATACATCTCCGGGTGAACATCTGACGGGCCGTGGTCTGCCCCGTATAGGAGCAAGTCCTCCAAGCGCCCTTTTCCCGGCCGGATTTACTCAGCCTGACCCGTCAGCCTGGCCACTTCAGCAATGGACGAACCCCTTCATAGACTCGACCCCACGCCTCGCCTCCCTCCTGGCCTTCGTGGCCGCCCTCGGCAAAGACGTGGCCATGCGGGTGCGGGAAACGCGCGAGTTTGGGATGACACTTCCCGAGAATAGGAAAGAAACCTGAGCGGGAGGCTGCACGGCAGGGGGCGGAGGTGGGGGCTTGCAGGAAAGAGTTCGATTGATCATTGGCCCTGAGCCTGGGGCCTGGTCCGTCCTGATCAACAACGCTCGCTCGGAAACTTGTCGGTGCATCCCTCCGATTCCACGAGCATGCTGCTACCCCACATGGATGCTAACAACACCACACGCGTTGCAGAAAACGACGGGGGGGCCTCTTGCCCAAGCAACATACCAAAATGGCGTGCTGCAGCTGCTCGTGAACGATCCGAACTGCCCGCATGGCAGGAGACATTGGCTAACAAGAACAATCGTCGTCGGAAACACTACTCTAATACAGTCTCATAACCGCATATTGCACCGTCCCACATGGGCCGGCGATCTTCCGTGATCGGCTGGTGCTGCTGAAGCTTTGGAGGGGGTGGGGCCTTTTCGGCCCCCCCCCCGCAGCTTCTCTGATTAGGCCAACGCCCGATGTGATGCACGACGAGTTGTTGCGCCTTGGCAAAAAAGGCCCGCTTAAGGGTCAAACGGCAGAGAGTGGCGCACGTACGTGTCATGCACGCACATTATATCACACCCGTGAAGCTTTGTCACGAACTGACCGGCTGGGCGCGGCGCATCGCGCCCACAAGCTCGCAGGCCGTTAAGGGGCAGCAGGAGGCGGTCAAGGCGCCCCCGAGAGGGAACAGGTCAAAGGCGGCCCTATCGTCCCAGCACCACCTCCTGGGTGGGATGGCGTTCTCTTAGTGCAGTCACTTCCCCATGTCAGGATAATGTTCGCAGTGCCGTCACTTCCCATGTCGGGATAGTGCCCATTACGGATAGTATTTTCCACGGAAGTCGTGATCAGCCTGGCCCTCGCCACCTGCTGCATTATTTTCTGAACCGTCGACTCCGGGTCTGCCGCTGTGTCGTAAGTTCCAGTACGTACGATGAATACTTAGAGATCGGCGGGCATAGCCTGCGCGAGGCAATCCACTGCCATAATGCTGGCATCGGCCCACACAGTCTTATCACAGGGAAACCGAAGATGGAATCTCACAATTTCCTCGTGTCCACGAGCCCACAATAATCAAGCATTTGTCATGAACTTGTCCTATCTCTGGCGCAATCAAGTGCTCTTCCAGGCCTCCGTCTGCATTCTGCCAGCCACAGATGCCTCATCGCCACGGCAGAAGTCTCTTCCCAATATTACGGAAGCTTGTGCCTGGCATCAAGCATGCCACGAGCATCAGCGATGGCAGCGCGGATGAGCACGCCCGGTTCTGCACCCCAGAGACAAGCCGAAGTCTCCGCCTGGAGGAAAGATTTACACACGCGCCTGATGATCTTACTCGACAGAATAACAGCGCGAACATGATCACTGTTTCCCTCGACAAACCCGAGTCCAGCAAGACCGTTGAACCTGGCCCTCTGAGATCTGAGTGGATCAAGCTGGCCCATAACAGTGTCGGTCTCTCCTGTCCAGCTGGCGTCGGCACCTGTAAGAACTATCAGGTACTTGCCCCACTTGACTGATCCTGACTTGAACACAAGTCCACTGTCTGAAGACAGTAATGCCTCTTCCTGGACACGGTTCGCTGCTTTGAGACGAAGCACCTTTGCGTGGTCCATTCCAATATGCAGTCGACTCACGCGATAAAACAACTCAGGTTTGCATTGTCGGGTCGGGTAACCCATGATGAGGCACCTGGATTGGGATACCTCTCCTTCAATACGCGTCCTGGTAAATGGGGCTATCCCTGGAATGCGATACAGCCTCAATCGTCTCAATGTTATCCTTCGCGCTGATATGCGAACAATATAATCCGCCTCTTGGCCATACGCGGGTTCCGTAACGGGCATAGGGCGATAAGCACTCCGCCCTCCAGGGCTCCTTCTGATCCGTCTGGCGGTGGCTTGAGCAACATAAGACGGTCGAGCTGTTGTCCCTGGAAGCTTGCAGAAGCAATGCCGGCACATTTCAGAACCCCCTTCGCCCCTGCAGCCCAGGATGTTATCATGCTGAAACCTTCGAGTTCAAATGTCGGCAATTCCGCGCGGATGCCAAGCAACTCCTCGAAATCTCCTCGCGCGACGAACCTGCTCATGTATTGGGGCGCAACCTGTGGCTCACCTGGTTTGCGAAGGTGCTCGTTTATTGACAATATCATCCCATGGTGTCGGGACTGCGTGATATCCTTCATCCAGGAGTTTCTGTAGCCCGGTAGGTTCTATGGGCACTTCTGCATTCAACTTGTTCGCGTTCCCCATTCATCTTGTCTTGCGAAGCGTAACCTGCTCTTGACGTCTTCTGTTTCTCGATGACATACCACGGTTTTGGCATTCTTCAATGTATTCCGTGACTGGGTCATATTGATGGTACGCTCATTGAGGAAACCTAACAGTGATTTGTGTGGTTTGGCAGCTATGGATGCTGTCCTGTTCTGCAACAGTTCCACACCTGCAACCTTGGTACCAATTCTATGCCACGCCTCGAGCAGCGGACTCGCTGGCTCGGGTCCTGGTTCCATTACTGAATTCGCCGAAAAACATCCTGGTGTTCTTTTCAGCATCTGATGCGCATCCACTTACCGCGAGTCCCCTACGCTGCGCATCACCTCACTACGACCACGTATTCCGTGAGGCACATCATCCAGCAAAGATCTCTGCAATGGCATGGAGATCACTTGCGGTGGCCGTCACGCTCGTTGATCGTATGGGGGAATTGTTACATCACCTTCGGCCGCGTCACTCATACCATTTCCCTGGACAGCGGGTTGTGACTCCTCCACTGCTGCTTCTAATTCGGTATATTTTGGAACGGCAGGCAATACATCTCCTTGTTGACCTTCAGATTCATTGATCTCTGGTATGTCTCGACGTGCGTCCACGAAAGACTGTTACTGATTGTCCGGAGAGGCGTAGCGACCCAAGTCGCAATCGTGGTGTCGAGAGAAGTACTGGTACGCAAGAGCTTGCGCCGCAGAACACGGACGCAGCCTGTCGATTGCGACGCAAACTGGGACCCCCTCGGTGATGGCCCACGCATTCTTGCCATGAAACCCCACGATTCGAGGGCCTGAACTACACTTGGCTGCGATTTCGCTGTCAGCTGGTCACTTGCGAAAACATTCCACATCACCAACCTGATATTAACCTGCTAAGGTGCGGCCTTTCGGAGTACAGCACGTGCCGTCCGACGCCCGACGTCGTGTTCGGCAAATGCCTTGCGTGCTGTGACTCGAATCGCTTCTTGACGTGGAAATTCATCACAACCACGTTGGGCAGCACACCTCAGTCAAAAGCTTCATCGTCGTCGAACTGACTCCCTGGCACACGGGGTAATCGTTCAAGAGCCCATTGGGATGGTGAGACTCCTGCTACTCGAGCCATTTCGATTCTTGTGCTGACGACTCTTGCGGCTGCCCCCATTACCTCATCAAGTCCGATGGCATTATTGTCGTGAACCACTTTCTTGAATACGTTATTACATAAACCACCGTGCCTCTCAGTACGCCCGATTTGCTCCAGGGACTCGTGGCCAAGTGCCAGGTTCGCGCGGTGCACATCCAGGGCATTTCCAATGTGATTTCAATGTGTGTTCAAAAAGGCATAGCCAGAGCCAGAAGGCGCCAGCTCCCAAGCTACACGCTCAACATCGGAACCTGGTGGACGTCCTTGGCGGGGTGCTGGACGCAAAAACTCTTGAGACCAGATTGGGCAGTGCACGCGGCGCGTATCACGAGCAGACCAGAAGCTGGCGTTGCATCGCTTGCATAGGGGAGGCAACAAGAATTACAGGTCTCAACGCCGCGCGCGGTGTCTTAAGAGGAGTAGGAAGACATGCTCTGCCCAGGCACTGGTCAGAGAAAAGAAGGGGGAGAAAGAAGCTGGGGGAGGGGACGTCCATCCGACGAGGTGTTCCCAGAGAAGAAGTTGTGTCCCCCCGCCCAGGTTCCGTCCCTGGGCGGGAACCCACTGACAGGACGCCATCCCCCAAAAGTGGTTCGCCTCGGGGTCGGGGTCCTCCCTGCGAGCGCATCCAGCTCCCGTTGGCCCAGGACCTCGGCCTCAGAGCGTACTCTCAAGCCGAATGCAAACAAATCTGAAGTCAGAGATAGTCGGACTGGCTGAGCTTGGTGCGTAAAGGGCACCGCCTGCTGCTGAGCAGGCTGAAGTTGGGCAGGTCCTCCTGACTCAACCCCGGGAAGACTAGGGAGGAATAGGAGGGGGAGACAGAAAGACGTGAAAAAGGAACACGACGATGACGAGGAGGACGAGAGCGGGAGCGGGAGGAACAGACCCGCACCGTAAAGCTCTCAGATGCCACGGGACGGGCGCCCCCCCCCGTGTCAGCTGACACTACACCCACATGCACCTTGTGTTCGTCATGACTATCGTCCTCCGCATTCACCCTCCCCTCTCGCCCCTTTTTTCACCACCCCCTCCTCATTTCTATGATCATCAGCGCTATCGTCATCGTCGCCATCATTACCCGCACTGCCAAATGCAATCTCATCATCGTCGACACCCTCACCAGCATCACCGCCATGATGGTCATCATCAGCAGCAGTAGCAACCGTTTTCCGAATGAGCTTGGGAATTGGGCTCGGACTGCGGCGCCCGAGCAGGCCACTGCGCCTGGGCGTGCAATGAAAGTCATTCCTGGAAGATCTCCCAACGCATCCAGCGCACCACAAGCACCCCCCTAGAATGCTAGCAAGAAGACCAGTGCGCAGGATCGCGGGATACTGGAATCGTCCCCATTTCACGTCGCTAGATAGGTACATATGCAAGATGGAATGCCGCAAAATCCGGACGTTGAAAACCGCGGTTTCAAACTCCGGCGCCATTGCACAGAGGCCACGCGAAGGCCCGAGCCCCGCATCGCGTCCCCACAAAGCCTTCGGAATGTCGATGAGGGCCCGCCGCCGACACCCTCGTCATCATTCCCGACATTGGCCATCATCCTTGATGTTGCGTTGCTGCGAGCGCCAGCGCAAATCACCCTGCCGCCACTGCGCCTTCCTCGCTCGCAAGGATGGCGTCTGCGCTTGACCAGGCGAACAGGACCCTCGCCTCCCCCCTGCGCATACTGGCGGCGGCGTATGCGTGCGCCGTGGACATCAGCCGGGCGAGCCAGGACTCCTGAATGGCTTCTGAAAAGTCACGTTTAGTGTATGTTGACACCCAGGCTCGTTGAGAGGCTCAATCAAAGCCTCTACGTTGGCCGAGGCTCGTCGATGTAGACAAGGATCCCTTTCATGACCTGCAGCATGGGACAGAAATCTTGAAGCTGATCTAAGAAATCGGCTGTACCTCCACCGCCATCATCCTAATCATCACCAACACCACCATTATCACCATCACCCTCACGATCAGCATCACCATAATCAGCAACAGCAATCACCAGCATCATCAGCATCATCAGCATCAGCATCATCATCCGCATCATCATCATCATCATCATCATCATCATCATCATCAGCAGCAGCAGCAGCAGCAGCATCATCGTCATCATCATCACCATCATCATCATCACCATCATCAGCATCGGCATCATCATAATCGGCATCAGCATCACCATCATCACCATCAACAACATCAATGTCAACATCATCGTCATTATCATAATCATCATCAACAACGTGGTCATCATTGTCATCCAATTCGGCCTCAGCATCCTGGTCCCGCTCGGAATCTCACCACATGCTCCGCCTTCTCCTCCTCCTCCTCCTGCTCCTACTACTCCTCCTCCTCCTGTTCCTCCTCCACCTCCTCCTACTCCTCCTCCTCTTCCTCCTCTGCCTGCTCGTGCTGCAACTTTCAGGCGTACCCTCCGCCCAGAGCGCACCAACATCGTCTGACCCGAAGCTGCCGGCAACGAGGAGGCCCAGGGCGAAGAAGCCTTCACGGGCTTGGCTGCAGAGCGGCTGGGACCTCCTCCTTCTCCTCCTCCTCCTCTTCATCCCTCCTTTTGTCTGGTTGGTCTCTTTCTCTGTTTCTCTCTCCCTCTGTCGTTCTCTCTGTTAGTTTCTCTCTCTCTCTCTGTCTCTCTCTGTCTCTCTCTGTCTCTCTCTGTCTCTCTCTCTTTCTCTTTTTGCTTTCTCTCTCTCTCTCTCTCCCTCTCTTTCTTTACCCCCACCAATCCATAATCGAAGGGGCTGGTGAGGGCAGGGCAGAGGGGGAAACATCAGGGCCACCAGCTCACAGCTCAAAAAGACTGCCCCCCCCCCCGAAGGGCCGAGTGGCCAGCCCCCACGCCAGGATCACCTGCCGCGAACCCCCAAGACCCGCAGAACGAACATACTGACTCAGCCTGTGCCACCACTCCGCCTCCTTATGGGGCGCAAGTCTTAACGGCCAGGGGGTGGAACTTTGGTCCCCTCGGTCAAAGCGAATATCCCCTTAGCAGCTGTCTCGTCTGCTGCGCAAGAATTGTGGCACAGCTTGTAAGGAACCAGCTCGGGGCCCTACATCTAATAGGCATCACTCCAGGTAAATCGGAACCCCAGATTTTACAACAAACATGCCGTTAGTGGGGCGGGGATACCTCAGCACAAGATCCGCTAGGAGTACTATAATCAAAACAAAGAGCGCAGCCCACGTGACGCCATCGGCGCCCGTTCCAGCGCACACGGTCGGGCTGACGGCTGCCAGGGAGAGCCAGGGGGAGGGAGACTCGAATCTGGCGATCCAACTTCCCGAACAGCTCTTTTGCCTTCGAGAACCCTTCTATACTCTGGACCATGCGCAGAGCTAGGTTATGCCAACTACTCAGGGCGAGCTCATAATTCAAAACCGTTATGAGCCATGTCGGGATGAAGTTCAGCACCGTCGTTCGCATATTCATGAGCTCGATCATTACCACGCTTGTATAGACACAACATACTTCAGACAGCACCAGACACGTGGGACGTCACCTTCAGGAGGTGCCATGGCGAATACCTTTGGGAGAAGATCACTGTCCACACCTCTGAGAGCGACGAACGTCCACTCGTAGCAGACCTTGGGTCCACTGGTCCTGCAAAAAGGGCAGCGCAAACCACATGCACTCTGAAATCCTCAGGCTGACCCACGAAATCAAAATGTTCGAGGGCCTGGAGCAACCCATCGTGTTCGGCGAGCACAGCACTTTGGGGCAGATGTCCATACCCCGGACGACATCTCCATCCTCATCGATATGCAAAACAGTCCACTCCGTCATGGCGACAAGGACGGGCGGGGCTATGACAGCTCCCATCTGTGTATCCGCCACCGTGTTTTCAGCACGTAGTGGGCTTTCAGCACGTAGAGGAGTGCTCCAAGGCTTATGCAGCCCTGATAGGCAGGGGGTTCTAAGGTCCTTAAGGGTCCAGACCCCGGGTGTCCCAGGAGCTCCCGGGCGCTCTCTTGGGCGCTGCTGCGCGCTCTTGGCGTGTATCGCGTGTGCCTCTGGGACGGTGAACCCGCCCAACAGGGCCCCCAAACGGGCGAAGAGGGCCCCGAGAAACCCTCAGGACAGTCCGAAGCCTACGAACCGGCCAAGATGGCCTCAAGGCGGCCCAAGAAGTCCCCGAAACGTCCCAAAAGAGTCCCGAGAGGAGGCCAAAAGAGCGCCCCATGAAGCAAACATCGTCCCATTCCCTTCGGGCAACTTATATTGCTTGCATATTTGCGTCGTCTGCTTTCACAGCGTCGAAAACGGCCTAAGAAGCCCCCAAGATCGCCCCAAGACGGCCCCAGAGGCCCCCAAGAGGGCTCCAAGACGGCAAAAGGGGGGCCCAAGGGGGCTCCAAGAGGCCCCCAGACGGCCCAAAAGAGCCCCAGGACGGCCCCAAGACAGCCTAAGAGGGCCCCAGACAGCCCAAGATGCGCTCAAGACGGCCCAAGAGGGCCCAAAATGGCCCCAAGAGTTGCACAAGAACGGGAACGCGAACCGAAAAACCTAGCGTTCCGCCCCAAGAGACCCCCCAGGAGGCCCCAAAAGGACCCCAAGAGGCAAGATATTCAAAAAGAGGCCTCAAGAGGCCGCAAAACGGCCTGTCAAAGGCCCCAAAGAGGCCTCCAAGAGGTCCCCAAACTGCTCCCAAGAGGCCCCCGAAGGCTCTCAGACGACACCGGAAGAACCATCCCTGAAAACTCTGACACACAACCCAGGCACTCTGGCGGGACGTAGCTATCTGCACCGTCCCAGGCAGCTGGATGAATATCTGCTGGACAGCTGTAAAAAACATGCTCTTCGCCCGCCTCGACGGCATGCAGGACCAACTCGACACTCAGGTGCTCCGCGTGCTTATCGACCAAGCCGGGGCAAACGAAGCATCGGTGCCAGACTGAGTCGACGGATCCTCCCTCGGGCGAGCGGCAAAAAGGGCAGACTGGAAAGATCTCATACTTCCAAGCATGCGGCTTTTCCGCAGTCATATATGAGCGACACAAAAGCTGCGTCACTAGCTTCTGGAGAGGTTTGGCTGTCTTGCGGCTAGACCAGAATACATTGAAGGTTCAATCCACAATCCCCTTTCCAGGATCGTCAGATCCCTTGGATGATCTGAATCCTTCAAATGCTTAACCCTACTTGTGTGAACATACTCACGTGTGAAAACGGCTTCCTCCTCTTCGTCATCTTCCTTCTCCTCCTCGTCCTCCCTAACATCATCAGCATCAACATCATCATCAGCAACAGCAGCATCAGCATCACTGCCACCACCACCATCATCACCACCACCACCACCACGATCATCATCATCATCATCATCATCATCATCATCATCATCATCATCAGCATCATCATCATCAGCATCAGCATCAGCATCATCATCATCGATCACCACCTTCCTCGTCTTCATACTCGGTCCAATCAACAGCAGCATCATCGTCATCATCATCGTCATCATCATTGAACTCAGCATACTCAATATTGGAAACATAAACATCATCAGCATCATCAGCATCGTCATCATCATGATCAGCCGAATCATCATCATCATCATCATCAGCAGCAGCAGCATCATCATCGTCAGCAGCAGCGCCGCATTCATCGTCACCAGTATCATCAGCGTCATCATCACCACCGTCATCATAATCGTAGTCATCCTCAGAATCAGCATCAGCATCAGCATGCTCAGCATCATCGTCATCATCGTCCTCTGTAGCCATCTATAGCCATCATCATCACCACCACCATCACTAGTCATCATCATCATCATCATCACCATCATCATACTCATCACCACCACCATCATCATCATCATCATCGCCATCATCATCAGTATCACCATCATCAAAATCAACCACAATTATAATCTCGTCATTATCCTACTCATTCTTGCCACCGTCATCCTAAACATCATCCTCTTGCTCCTCCTCGTCATCTTCGTCATGATCATCCATCGTCCCTCCTCTAGCCCCCCCCCTCCTCCTCTCCGCCCCCTCGCCCCCTCCGCATTATCCTCCGCCCCAATAGCGGAGCAGAACGGTTGGAAAGCTGGTGCGATCGCAAGTGCAGCTCTGACTCCTGCTCATCATCCTCCTCATCCTCCTCCTCGTCCTCCTGCTCCTGCTTCTGCTCCTGCTACTGCTCCTCCTCCTCCTCCTCCTCCTCCTCCTCCTCCTCCTCCTGTTCATCTTTGTTGTATCCTCCTCCTCCTCTTCCTCCTCTTCCTCCTCCTCCTTCCCCTTCTCCTCCTCCTCCTCCTCGTCCTCCGCCTCCTTTTGCTCTGCCTGCCCTTCCTCCCCCCCTCCTCCACCCACACCCCGGCTCCTTCGCCTCCTCCAGCTCCTGACCCCCGTCCTCCTCACGATCATCACCATCATCATCCTGCTCCTGCTCATGTTCCTGCTCATGTTCCTGCTCCTGCTCCTGCTCCTGCCCCTGCTCATCCTCCTCCTCCTCCTCCTCCTCCTCCTCCTCCTCCTCCTCCTCTTCCTCCTCCTCCTCCTCCTCCTCCTCCTCCTCCTCCTCCCCTCCCTCCTCCTCAGCAGCAGCAGCACCCCTGTCCCTCTCTCCTACACCATCTGGCCTTGCAACTGACTCCTCCCTGTCGCACCCCCAACCGCGTCGGTAGGGCTGACCAGGCGTTTCGCCTGAAGCTTGACATTCAAAGCAGGCTGCACGGATGGAGAGGGGGTCGTTTTCAAAATGAGGCTCTCGATTTCGCGCCGTGCACATTCATCCAACCAGCCCTCTGGACGTAGGTGGTCTAGCGCGTGTCCTCTTCCACCCACCCTTCTTCCCCTTCGGGGATGGGGTTCCCCCCCCCTTTTACCCCAGTCCCTGGACCTGGAGGGTTGGTGTCGCGGGTCGTTGGACCGTCCACGATGGCCCAAGATGGTCTTAGGAGAACCTCAGAGAGCCAAAGATGACTCCCAATACGGCCCAAGATAGCCCAAGTTGGCTCAATATGGCTCCTAAGATGCTCCAAGGGGTCCCAAGACCGCTCCAAGACAGCTCCAAGCGGCCACGGAGCCTCCCCAGGAGCCAAAACATCCATGAATGTTGTCATCTCGTCCGTTCGCTTCCAATGGCCTTCCGAGGCCTCAAGACAACTCCAAGAAGCCCCAAGAGAGGCCCAAGCGAGGCCCATGACAGCCCCAAGAGCGCCCCAAGAGGGGTCCAAGAGGGGTCCAAAAGACGAAGTTGGGCACTCTCAAAAGGCAGGGTTGATTAAGTACCCCCCTGTTTGATCGATCTCCTTCAACAAGATGGCTCCAAGAGCGCCCCCAAGGCTCCCAAGAGCGCCCCAAGAGGCACCAAGGAGACCCCAAGATGCCCCCGAGAGACTCTCGAAAGACCCCCGAGGGGCCCCAAGGGGCTCCCCGAGGCACCCAATACGCTCCAAGAGGCCCCCAGGACCGCCAAGAGGCCCCCAAGACGCTCCGCTCCAAGAGGCCTCCATAAAGCTCCCAAGAGACACCCGAGGAGAC